GTGTGTGTGTGTGTGTGTGTGTGTGTGTGTGTGTGTGTGTGTGTGTGCGCGCGCGCATGTGTGTGCTTGTGCTTGTTGTTTTTTTTAAGGGGAGACATAGCCAGAGCATAGAACTTTATTGATTCTTAGGATTTTAGGAATTACTCTTCTGTATCGAACGATATTCCGTGTTACAGTAATAAAGTATTCATGTCGTCTCAAAAAGAGAGCTGTATATCAGTGGTGAAGAGTGTATATTCTCATAACTGCTTTGAATAGCAGTAGAACTCCTTGTGAAAGAGTTAGTAATAACACGAAGTAATAATATGAATATTACTGCGTTCCAGTTTTGAAAGGTAGGTGTTGGTGAAGTTACAGGCATATGGGACTTGTCAACTTATATCTCAGGGTGACGGGCGCCCGCAGTGAGAGCCTCCCAGATCTTTGCGTTTTAAAGACACCTTACACAAAGGATGTGAAGCGTAATTTATATTTCGAACCAAAATATCTACGTTAAAATCTGGAAATAAGTTGAAAGAGAGCTTACTCTTCATAACGGAGCTAGTTTGATGTGATAACGCAAAAATTGCGAATCCGACAGTACGTGACTAATTTAGTTACATGAGAATGCTTTTACTAAACAACTATTGGGAAGTTCTGATCGGAAATACTTCGCTATAAGTTTCGTATTCCTTGTGTTTATAGGGTATAAGAAAAATGGATGCTTTGTTTAATCGTGCGCCTTAGATTTCACGTCTGTTTTAGCTTGTTAAAAATTTAGTTTGGATTTTTTTTAGATACCAAGTGACAGGACGGCCAAGTCATGCGCCTAGTGGTCACAAATTGATCGTTTTACGATTTGCCATTACACGTATATTACAGTTTGCATTTCAATGCTCATTTTGCCTGGGAGACTTATTTAGTTTGAGCTCCTGTCTCCCATATCTGAGCTCTATGTTCAATCATGTACTTATATTTTGTACTCGTTGGAAGATATAATAAATGATAATTATTATTATTATTTAGCGTATTGATCAATAGCATAGATATAGAAAAAAAGGGGAGATATGTAATTACGCTATGTAAGATCGGGTGCCGATGACGCCACTTTTTAGCTTGTATACAATTCAAACTTTACGCTCTATTATCTACTACCATAACTTAAAGATTTTGATTGGGTAGGGTTTAAACAATTTTAAAATTTAACAAAAACTTACAGTCACTTGTGTTGTGTCTTAATGATTAAAAGACGGCGCAATTAATTAATGCGATTTATTTCTATATAATTGCACACTACACGATAGTCAAGCCGGGCGCGAGAGAGAGAGAGTATGTGTGAGCGGTGCAGACCAATGCACCACACATTCGGATACACTACAACTCTTCCCCCCTTAACATTACAGAATAAACAAAACTTAATACTAACTATAGATAGACCCTTAACATTACAGAATGAACAAAACTTAATACTAACTATAGACTCTCTTCCCCTTAACCTATGAAAAACAATAATCTACGATTTCCAAAAGGGAAGGCCCTGTCTCTTAACTCTTGGCATCATGCACAGCATACATCTTTACAGAAGTCCTACGAGTTAAAATCGGAACCTTATAGTTGAATTAGTCTTAACTAACAAATCTTTAAATATTAAGTAACTAATACTTAATTATGTCTCTATTCGTCCAGACAAGCATTACATTTCAACATTTGGTTAGTATGTCTTTTCCATTGATACCCATTTACATCTATAACATAGGTTGTATTTGGAATTGATTCCTCTATTATAATTCCTTGAATCCATGGCTTGTGACCTTTTCGATAGTCCTTAACCATTACCTTTTCACCAACATTAAATTCAACACTCCTATTTCCTGAAGAATTTTTTGATTGTTTTTCTAGTATTTCTATAGCTGGAGGTCTAAATAAGGAAAATCTATTCCTGAGTTCTCTACCCAGTAGTAATTTAGCTGGGGTCATCCCAGTGGCGTTATGAGGCATATTTCTATAATCGAAGAGAAATAAGTTAATTGCAGAAGAAAGTGAATTTCCACTTTCTTTTATTTTTGTTACATGAGTTTTAAATGTGTCTACAAATCGTTCCGCCGCTCCATTTGTAGCGGGGTGATATGGTGGTGAAAAGGTATGTTTTACATTTATAGCTTTACAATAATTTTCAAATTCGAAACTGGTAAAAGTAGGTCCATTGTCAGTCACCAAGTGTGCCGGGAAACCGAAACGCGAAAATATGCTTTTAAATTTTTCTATGGTTTGTACTGCGCCAATATTTGACATTTCAAACACCTCCGGCCACTTTGAGTAACTGTCAATGACCACTAAGTACATTTTGTTATAAAATGGACCTAAAAAATCAGTCCTAAAAATCCCATCCTCGTCGCCAAATTGTTGTGTCTTAATGATTAAAAGACGGCGCAATTAATTAATGCGATTTATTTCTATATAATTGCACACTACACGATAGTCAAGCCGGGCGCGAGAGAGAGAGAGTATGTGTGAGCGGTGCAGACCAATGCACCACACATTCGGATACACTACAACTTGAATAAGAGTTATATTACAATATTGCAGTATTTTTTTCATCCTGGTTCAGCCATTCACCAATAGGTGGCATTTTAGTAAAAATACTACTAGTATATAATAGCTAACTATTACACGTTAGATGGCGCTGAAACTCATTTTTCGTTACACTAAGAATTCACGGAGCGATTTTTACCCGCGTCTGCCAAGAGACCGCGGCATCTGTAGAATGTAACAGTTAAGTATGCAAAATTAGTAGCACATTTCACGGCGCGTTTTACGCCTGTAGTGGTGACGGTTGTTCGCGGTTGCCGCGGCAGGGTACTAGTAGAACCGCGCAGGACGCGATGACCTGCGCGCTTGGCGGCCGTCGTCGCCCGCACACTTTGGCGGTCGGTTCAGCCGAAATGTGGTGCAGGCGCACGCAGGGTGAGTTCTCTATTAACCGCGCGACTTGCAATTAACTCTCACTAACTTCGCGGTCCGTTCCCCAATCGCAACGGTTTCGTGCCCGCAACCGCGGCAGCTACGTGCCCGCACAAACTTGCAGGGTTGTGAGTATTGAAATAAAACCGCTGTCTAGCAGCACCGGCGGGCGCGGATGGAAACCGCTCCGTGAATTGTTAACCTTACTAACCTTAAGCTGACGCTACTCAACGAGTGATGTGGACCTAATCGATAGTTGGAAACCATGTGGATGTTTTTAATATTAAAAAAAACAATTCCATTTTTCATACTATATCTACACTAGTACTGGTGTGTTATTAAATTAATATATTAATATAAATTATTATTATTTTCTTAATGGCGGCCACTAGGCTTGGACCAGTGTCAGTTTTATAAGAATAATATAAAAAATATGGCGACTGTCGCCAGTGTCAATTTTCCATTATACGTTACCACGGGTTGGTGAAGCTGTCACTGTCAAGAGTAAACTCTAAATATATTGAGAGAAAAAAGTTTTATATAAAAGATTGACAGTTTAGAAAAAAAATTGACAATTTGGCTTGAGGGCCTTATTCCGATGCCGTGAAACTAATATTAAAAAAAAACTCGAACTATCAACGAATTTAATAAATTAAATTATGTTGTTTTTTATGAAGGATTTATGTAATTTTCGAAAACCAATTATCTGGAATTTTTACAAAAAATTATAAAGTATAATAAACGCGACAGACATAATTGCATAATGTAAAATGCAAATATTTACATAGTTTCGGTAAGATATATGGAGCTGATGGAGCAGACTTGTACTGGAACGGCGACCACGTCAAGGAATATGGACGGACGACCTGAGAAAGGCAGCCGGCAGTGGCTGGATACGAGCAGCACAAGACCGGGACAGTTGGCGTGCCAAGGGGAGGCTTATGTCCAGGATGCCTGTAAGTATCGTCTATGGGTAACATATAATATGGAATCATCTGTGAGAAACGAACGTGAATAATTTGATTGAAAAAAAAAAGGATTTGTAAGAAATATCCCTTGTTAAAATTTCAAGTGCATTTATTTCAAAGCAATTTTTGTGAATTAATAGTTTTTTCCGCTTCTTGCCGATGGACCACGTGACTGGTTCATCTGGGTGGACCATGGGCAATTATTTCTTTCCATAATGCACCTTAGTCGCTTTTTCTTGTACAATAGCGATATATTTTTCATTTGTGTATTATATTTTCTTTGGGAAAACTAAGCCATATAATAATTTTAACCTTAACACGCGAGTATACTTTTAGCTCTTTCTGGATAGGCCAATTACAATTAGGTTACCACTTAATTAATCATTGTAATATTATTTAATATATACGTAATATAGTAATAATAATAATATGTCAGCCAACCACACCAATTACCTGGTATCAAACTAATGAATCCCAAATACGCAGAACACCCAGACCTGTAGAACAGTAACGCAGAGCGTTAAACAGTGGTCAGAGTCGTGTTGCATGTAAATTCACCTCCGTAATAATGAGTCAAATTTCAACAACGTTGCTGTACAGGTAACCTATTTCAGGAGCCACTTTAATATGAACTCTGACGACTATTTTATATAAAGCAAAGTAAATCAAACATTTGGTTATTAATTTTTAATAAAAAAACGAAACACGCGAATCTTTTATATGATGCGTCAATATTACAGGTTTCAAATTGAAATATATCATCATTCCGTAAGCTAACAACACACAAACACTTGAAATCGTTACATTGATTAAACACTAACTCATTCATAAGGAATCCGTAGAATTCTCCGAGAAGAATGAGTAACTTTAAGGTTTCCTTTTCGTAAATACGCATTTGTAGACATTTATTCAGTATTTATTTCAAATATCGAAACAAATCCCGCATCTCATAGTCCCGCACTAGGGAAAGTCTGTATCGCGGGTGCCATGGACGCACACATAAACAACCACCAATTACACCCAAAGTCACGAGAGAAATAAACGTAGACCATACAAATACGGGACCTCTGCGTAACAGTCCAGCATGGTAACCGTTCAGCCACTGAGTCAGTTAAGTAAATAGGTCCTGACCATGAACTTATGTCATCCAAACCTTTATAATAAAAACTTCTGTGTAGATCGTTCCAAGTAGTTTTAAGCCTCGTAAATATCAAATTTTGATTAACAACCGAAATCTGTAATATGAAATGTATGGTTCGAGAATTTAATGGGTCCCCATGTGGCAACCAAAAGCACACCCCGGACACTCCATACAACGGTCGAAAATTATTTACTTACTACTACTACATAGAGCAAGGCGCTATCTGCACACGCGCGAATGTGTGCGTGAAGTGGCAGGGTTACCCATCACTTGCTCGTACGATTACGTTACGTGGTCAGAGCGGCAACATAGCGAAAATTCTAAGGCGATTCTGTTACCTATAATTTTATTATAGAATCATAATAATTATACGTGCTCATTACGTATTTATATCGATATAATATTATATTTTTATTAATTCACTAACTAGAATAATATTGAAGATTCATTTAAAAAATATATTATTTTGGACAGGTACCTTTTAACTAAGGTAACCAAAGTATTTGAAATTGCGTGTCCAACTTTATCATTACCTAGTTACTAATTAGGTATATTTACTACGTAATTATCGGCAATACAAATTGAAAATTCTAGAACCCTTGTCTAGCTTACTAAGTTATGGCGTCTTATTATATTGGTATAATAAATCTGTATTATATATTACTCTGCACTAAAGAAAACAATAACTGAATGAGTCTCAGACATTTTTTATTTACTTCGTTCCATCTTTCAAAAAACGACAGAAACTCCTCTCTTTATCCCGTTTAGATGATTATAAACAGCCGTACACAGCACAATTCACGACCATTATAAATAGTAACGTAAAATGATGTTATATATTAACGTACACATTTCGTAATGAATAAATGAAAGCTATATTCAAACATCAAAGCTGTCTTAGCGCGAAAACGGCTCGCTGACAGTCTTGTACTCGTTTAGTCAATGTGACCGTCAGTGCGCCGGGCGTGGTGCGGCATCTAAAGCTAGGGAGGGGCGAAGAGTGTCCGTTCTCATTACTTATTTGTTCTCTGCCAAAAGGGAAACGCACGGGCTGGCAGTTGTATTGCCCAATGTAAGCAAAGCATAGTCATTACAAAGGAAACGCTCACAACATTTGAAGTATCAGGATCTGCACTTTAGAAGCAGTACAGCTCCTTGTGAAAGGTTCGTCCAGAGAACTACTGCCACTTTACCTTTTTTGCCGCCAAGCAATGAAGCATGAGCATTATTGCATTTCGGTTTTGAAGTGTAAGGGTACTGATAAAATTACTTTTTGACTTAAAACTCTGAACGACGCTGCAAGCGACAAGACTGGCCATAACGTTTGCAGTGCCACTCAGAGCTTTAAATCACATAGATCTGAGGGGCGCTGCGCCCGTCACTCTGGGTCATAAATTGACAACTCTCATGTAAATTTAATTTCATTAGCACCCTTACTGTTCCTTACCATTCAAAACTGGAACGCAGTAATGCTCACATTACTGCTTGACAGCAGAATTAGGTAAGGTGGCAGTCCTTCCCTGGACAATCTCTTTCACTGCACTGATACTAAACCTACCTACCTTATTTTTTTTATTCTTTACTGTTGACACTACGTCTCTTTCGAACCAACCACATAGAACCATATTGGAATTCAATTGATAATTATTACAGATAGATAACTAACAAAGTGCCAATATTGTTCTTGAATAATAACGAAATTAAAATTATCACCCTCTCCTAAATACCGTCAACCTATCATATATTATTTATAGGTATATATTATTTATTTACCCTACATCAAAGAAAACACTCCAAACTAAAACCACATCATTATTATTGGTAAGCAACAAAAAGACAGAACTAATTTCGAATAAAATATGGGTGTCACAAATAAACCAAAACATTATATGTATTTAAAAGAGCCGCGGGCAACAGGTCGTTTATAAAGTATGTTTCGGGAAATTTAAGTTTTATGGTTATTAAACATTTATACTGGGAAACAACACAATGCGTATCAATTTTGATTTAAAATATTAATACACTAATATACAAGACAAATTTGATTTTGAAAGGGACTTTCGTCAGACTTGAAAATAGATCTGAAGAGTTGAACCTTACGTCGGATCTTCTCGTCACCCATACCACAAAGTTCGAACACAGCACAAGTGCAAATGAGTGACTAAAAGCTGAAGAAGAAGAAGTGAAAACCTGTAAACTTAATTAAATTGTCTATATATTATGTATTTTTAAATAGAACGCCTCTCATGTCTTTTGAGAACCGACTACAATAGGTCGGCAACCTTGAAAATAACAAATGAGCATCGTTCGTCAATACTTCGCCGCTTAATTCCCTTTACCATTGATTTTATACATTTCCCTCTTCTACGAGGATTTAATGAAAAACGTGCGTAGAAAGTTTTCCTTCCATTACCCTGACTAAAGGTACCATAGTGTAATAAATTTGTATTATTATATTTAATATATAGGTCGAGCAAGGAGAACATATTTTATTTTGAGTCAAATGTTGTGACTTCTAGGAAGAACAGATAAAGCCTTATACGAATTTGAATTACACGAAACTTGCCGTTGCTAAACAGCTTTACATATTTTAACAATCATTGTGCTAAATTCAAACGATGTATTTTTTAACCCGAAATGTTACCATGCTGGTCTGCCACGCAGAAGTCCTAGCTACGATTCCCTGGCCGGGAGAAAAAATTATATGGACTGCATTTATTTCTCTCGTGACTTTGGGTATAATTTGTGGTTGTCTATGTGTGTGTTCATGGCAACCACGACACAGGGCTTCCCTAGTGAGGGGCTATGAGAGTGTGTGTTATTTATTCATTTGTAATTTTTTTTAAATAAAGTTATTGAATGTCAGGATGTTTCACCACATCTATAAATTCAATTATTTTTTTATGAAATTACTCTACTAGTTTGTTATAATTATTAATACACTTAGAAGAAAATCCTTCGATCTGGCTGGATTCGCGTCATCCTCTTCTGGTAAACCGTGCCAGACGCTATGCTAACTAAGCCACGGAACGAACCAGCGGACCATATGATTTTTTCTATATGCTTGTTGCGGATCTTTGTTTCGGTTTCTAACGATTTTTTTGCCGTAGCGCCTGTGGAACTCTATTTCTTCACTCAGCCAAGTAATATAAGATGATAATGTTTACTTTATTCAATGGGACGTATTATTAAGACTTTTTTCATACAGTTAATTGAGATATTATTATGATCTTCGTACACCATGAAAAGTTACACATTTCGAACATATACTGTGATAAGTGACATGTAATAAATATATGTTTTGGTGATAAACACAAATCTAGCATTAAAACGGACAAAAACAAAAATATTTTTACTAAAAAGACACACTTACCTATTTCGATTTTTGTCTCGTAGTATTTAAACAGACAGACGGCTCGCTTGAAAACTGGTTAACACAGTTAACATTTGCCACAATAAGAAAGTATCGCATCTTGGACATATAAATGCTTCTGGCTGCGCTGGCTCTCTCTGTCCTTAAATGCGAAACATTTGAAAATTCTCACAATCCTTGCCACACGTTGGTCACCCTACAGCAAAAGTTATTAATGACGGAGAAGGCACCTATAACTTTGATAGATCGTCCCAGTCTCTGCAACCAATGCAAACAAAGGAATTTTCGAGAATTTAACGTATTATTTAAGCAAAATTTTCTCATAAACCTTTATACTTTACTATACAAAATTCGTTTAACCCAACAAAGCCATTTCCCCGAAATGAGACGACACTTGAATTTATATTGTCTTTCGTTTACAGTACTTATATACTTGCTTCAAAAAGCGTATGTTAATTACGTGTACTACTTACATAATTCATTCAATAAATCAATTATTCAATAAACACGGGAAGATGTAAAGTTTACATGTGTATAACGTAGATTTTTTCCAAGCCGCTAAAAAAGTATTGTAATCCTGTGAATTATTTCGCGCCATTATCCCCTTTTGCAAGAGCAGTATAAGCCAAACATTCCTTAGATAATTAAAAAAAATCTCTGTAATCTTTTTTAGGACCTCAATGCTCTAAAAATCTCTGTGTTCTCAAACAATTAAAACTGCGAAACGTGAACAATCAAAAAACTGCTAGTAAAACCGCTTTGCAATAAATTAAAATTTTAATTGGCTACTTTAATTTCACTCTTAATAGCTAATTTACTTTAATGAGGTGATATTTTACGTACCAAATTAATTTTATGGCTCGACGACAGTGTATTATTACAAAGCTTTGGATTACAGGTGTTTTACCACGTTAAATATTAATTTACAATTTTGTAATTTATTGTTATTATATTCTAATAAAGAGCTGTAAGATGTAATGGTGTGTATTTGGAAACTTATTCAAATGAAAAAGTTGAATGAGTCAAATCTCTTGACTTGACTCCTGGGATAGTAAAATAAAGTTTACTTTTGCTGAAAATTTTGCGGAACCTGGAATGTATATTACTTGCGAGAGAAAAAAAAACAAATTATGTAATAAAAAAATGAATATTTGTTTGTACGTTTGTCCCGTATGCGTTCCACTTCGGCACAACGTGACATTCGTTTGTTTCAACAAATAAGTCTACAGCCAAAATGGCGGTTGTTTTGCAGATGACATGATACATTGCAACGCGTACAGCAAGTTAATAACTTTAAGAGTTAAGCATTTCAGAAAAATCTTTGACTCAGTTAAAGATTACATAGACGTTGATATTTTGTCATAACTTGTGTTAGTTACGCACACATAAAAATCGGTAGATAAACATATACATTACTCAGCAGAAATGATTGATTGAATGCATTGCAATTACATTTCAAAATTTCCAAGACTAACACAAAACATACAAATTATTAGAAACTTTGATAGTAACCTGTTTAGACATCCTTTTATAATGTTTTTAGGGTATTGCTGGGGCTGACTCGATTCTGCAGCGCTTTAGGCATGCTTGCACAGGCAAATACAGAGGATTTTAATGCTTTGCCAATGCAGGACGATATGATTCCCCCCGTAATGGCTCATTGTATGTAAAGATGCATCTTGCACACAAAAATAGTGAGTAACTAAAAGTAGGGTGGCTTATTACGCAGAATTTAATTTTTTCCCATACTGAATCGGTTTTATTGCACGGATCGAGCGTCAGGACTACTGGCTTTGTTTCAGATTTTTTTTACAAACGAAATTAAAGCCATTTGACAAATGTATATCGTATATTATATTAAGTTCTATTTAGTTTAGTTGATTTTAAAAAATCCTCAAAGTACCTATTGAATACAGCGCTTTTCTTGTAAAGTCGAGGTAAATTTGTGTTTTTTGTCTATCGTGAAAATCGACTCCTAACATCGACATCATACAGCCTGCGTCCTTTTTCGTTCCGAAGGCAAAATTCCAGTAACTATACGCATAGTATTTTGTACTACTATCTCAATCCAACTTTAATACAATACCTTTCATAGCCTTCCTAGTAACTTCACAGCCCAACATCTGATGGTGACAGTCACCTGGCGATAATGCAGTATTACGTCACTACAATGTCACGGCACTAACTCTCAATACACGAGAATGCTTTCACGGTGCTGATATTACATTTTAAGTTGACAATCAACGGACACTTCGAGTTTGAAAAGTATCTAGAAGTTTCCACGTGATAGAGATACTAAAGTGCCTTCTACACTATATAGTAACTGTAAGTACAGTAAAGTCTCCATAACACGTCCTTACTTGGAAGTACAAGAATGGTTGTTCTATAATACATCATGTATGATGTACATGCCCGTGGGATACCTATTCTTACATCATTTGCTTTCAGCAGACAGAAAAATATATTTTTTTTATAATATCAAGTGACGAAGCGAGATATTTTGTAATTAGGCTTTGCTCAATAAATTATTATTATAATTATTTTTATTATAGTTGCAGTGCTAATCAGAGCTTTAACATGTTCAGACATTTATTGCTGTCCGGTGGGAAAGATTCTCACGTGGACACCGTTGATACATCATCGCCCCATCAACCAAAAAATGTGTCAGGGCGGGGTGCGCCACCGGTGGACATGGCGAAATTATACTTTATATCTTCCTAATGAACCTATTATCTTAAGTAAACTATTTTTATTTTGCCAGTTCTGACTCTTTTAATACAATTTATCAGAAATAATTTTATATGTTTATTCTCGTATTTCTATTAAGTACATTTCTAATTCTTTTTTGAAATAAATACTTTTATTAACCTTGATTTTGTTTACTGTCTTACACAATATCAAACTCCTTAGCTCAATTATCAAACTCCTAAGCTCCTTAGCTCCTTAGCAATCAAGTTTTCATAGTATGAAAACTTGATTGTTGCACACGGCGGGAACATTGAATTTAGCACATTCTCTCAAGACGGTGTGGGTTTCTTTTGTATACCAAAACTCAAGTGTTGTGTGACCGCTGGTGGTTCACTACGCCTCACACACGCCAGTCTGAACGTGTTAAATCGCACAGTCTGAGAGGCACTGCCATTGCACCTGTCACCTGTGAGACATAAGTTGACAAGTCCTTTGCGCTTGTAATTTCACCAGTAATTACTTTTTTTTTATAATATCAAGTGATGGCACAAGTTGTACGCCTGATGGTAACCTACACGCTTGTTCACAACAGTTGCTGTGCCACTCAGAGCTTTAAATCGCAAACATCTGAGGGGCACTGCCACTGCGCCCGCCACCGTCAGACATAAGTTGACAAGTCCCAAGTGTCTGTAATTTCACCAGCACCCTTAACCTTCGAAACCGGAACACAGTAATGCTGACATTACTGCTTGGCAGCAGAAATAATTGAGGTATTTCGATGGACAAACTCTTTCACAAGATGCTCTACTGCTACTAAAATAATATTTTCGCAAATGCAAATTCCCTTGAGTAAGACGCTTACCTATGTAAGACGCTTTTGGAGTAACACTGAACATCATATTTTATGAAAGGCTATAGGAAGCATGCGTTGTATTATGTCTTATTGTCCAAAATATCAATAGTTCATAGAGTATTGAAACCTTTGCGTGCGTTATTCATATTGTATGTAACAACGTTACGCAACCATTTGGATTCACCATAAATACTTTAATGCGATCCACAAACATGTGTAACCTACATGGTGTTGCAATTTAGCATGTTTCAATGTAATGGAAATAACAAAAGATATGAGTCCCACTCACACAGTGCTACATTCTGTAAAATACCTATATTACAACGATCAAAGAGTAGACGGTGCATCTGGTGGAAATTGGTAAACACCACCTAAAGACATTTTTGAGGTAGTAAGCCACATTGACGTTTTGAAACTTAAAATTTCGTCTGCGTCTCCCTTCGACTGCGGAAAATGTATAAATAATAATAATTTCTCCCTCCAGTAACAGTACTACTACAATAAGCTATTAATACTATAAAAAGGGACATCTAGAAATATTTCTTATAATTAATAAAGGGACGCTTACATAACAGTCTTGTCGGTTGGACGATTCACGCTGTGACCCGTCCGTACAAGGTAACGCAAAAGTACAAATTTATTAGTCGTATATCAGATCAGATTATTTAGCGTAAAGAGCAAACTTCGAGCTGATGCACTTGACAACTGACAGTAGTTAGTAGTAGTTATTACGACTACGCTGACACACACACACATATATATGTATATATATTAAATACCCACATTTTGAAATTTCAGTTTTGAGCATTACTTTGTACCAGTGTGCAATTGCTGCACTGTGCAAAGTCTCTACTTAGTCTATTGTTTATAATTCGTATCATGGTCACCTTCATCGTCGGAGCCAAGGCGCGCCTGTTCTGTTGCGGTTGCGTCTTCTTCCTAGACGTACATCAGTGGTGCAATGCATGGTTTCCCATCCTCACCGTTAGTGGTATGTACATGAAACGACCGCTTGCTCTTAACGCACTGTTTTATTCTCTTTACATTTGAGTGGTGGACGCAGCCATATAATGTATAAATATCAACATATAATAGTAATTACTTAACAACGGGGACTATGCTCAGAACCCTACCACCAGTAAAAATACGTTCTACTTTATTGCAATAAATATTTTATGTAGCGTAGTTTTATTTTCATGTAGCGCCTTCTTGTGATTTACCACCTTTGGACATTTTTTGGGGCTACGTGAAAGATGAGGTCTATGCCTATGGCCCACAATTGATTAAAGACCTCAAAGATGGAATTCGTGAAGTTATCGAAGACATACAGCCGCAAAAATTCCTTCCTTTTTTTCCTTCCAAACAAAATGCGTTGAAAGCGTCGCTTGAAGCGTCAATGCGCTCAAAACGTCGCTTGAAGCGTCAATGCGCTGAAAACGTCAATTTTAAAGCGTCAAAATACACCCACGAAGTTAGGTAATTCGCTTACAGTATCTCAGTGGTGGGGGGGAAGTCAAGTACAATTCTTT